AAGTTCCAAGCTCCTTTATCAAGAGAGAAGCACAACACCCCCAACCCTTAAAGAACAAACAAGTGACACCTGAGCCGATACGTACTGTAGTTCACAAGGGTAGAGTTGGTTTTGAAACTCATTACACTCAAACACAGCTACGCAAATCGTCTGCCTTAAAATGTGTTTTCCATGATCGATTACAGCCCAGTTTGCCTAAGATAATTCGACAATTCTGAAAAAAGCCCGTCACGTGGCACAACTTACTCGGCTCTTCCTAGGAAGTGCACGTTTGAAACACTAGCAACTGTTTGGTTTACCAATGCAATAAAAGTCCGTATGAAACATGCAGCTCCCCGAATGAATGCATTAGACTCAATATATGGTATCTTCAGGTGTACGTTGGGGTGCTTTACCGAGTTGGGTTTTTTTTCATTAGAATTAGACCTTGATTTAAAATCAAAGTAGGCTTGAAGCCCCTTTGCTTAACACACTGTTGCACAGCAAGACAGTAAATTGCTCATGTTATGACCTGAACTACGAGGTAACAGGGTCCCTAAGGCATGGATTCTACTATGAAAATATCATCTTAACTGATAGTATCACCTTTTGTCAGCCGGGCGCTGTAGTTAGGGTAGGCTGAGTATACATAGTCTTAGCATTTTCATTCAAGTGCTTTTGATGATTGCAAAAAAAAAAATAGCTGTTTAAAATATTTAGGAATGCTGTCATCTAACTATCTACAAGTATTCACCTTCATTCAGCAACCTCATAGCTGCAGCGTACACATCAAGCAGTCAGGGTCTTTAAGCTTTCTTTGATTGCGATTAAGGTTCATTTTAGCTTTTGTTTTTTCCTCTTTTTTTCTTTTTTTTAAGCCAGTGTGCCATCTTCTCAAATATGTACATAAAGTTTGCTAGCCCATTTTAAAGAAAAGGCATTTAAAGGACATTAAAAAACAAATGATTATGTAGCATTTTAAGTAATATCTTCAGAAAAGTTTGGCTTCTATAGATTGCTAACCTGTAGTAATTAACACATTTATTTTTCTTAAATCTATAGCTAAAAGTATCCCTCTTAATTTTTGTACTATCAGAGTACCGAAATGCAAAACCGAAACCAGTTTTGTGGCTCTCGTGGCCAGAACTATGGCAAAACAAGGGTATCCAACTCTTTCTTTAAAAAAGTATAACCAAAAGAGGGCTCTGTTGGAGTGTTTTCTATTGTCTGCACTTTTTTCTCAAAAGTCATGTATTTTCCGTAAGCCCATACGGCATCTCAAGCCACAAAGAAAGGAACCAGCCCTTTTGTTTAAGCGGGTAATGGGACAAGTGATGTTACCAACTTTCTTGATGATAATAGCTTTTAAGCTTTCAAACATTCAATAAATTATAACAATGTACCTAATAGGTTCCTCCTGAGAATACAGGTACATCACGGAGAGCACCATCCCCCACAGTCCATCTCCATTCTGGGTCACCTACGTCACCTATGGGTTCTGGTAGTCCCGGGAGAGGCAGGGATATGTCCTCGAAAAAGAAAAAGGGGCTGCTTTCCAAAGGCAAGAAACTGCTGAAAAAGCTTGGTGCAGTGAAATGATTCATGTACTCCTGGACAACTTGTAAAGCTTCCAGTCTGTGTATTTTTTTTTTAAACGTCAAAACTAGGGCTTTCATGACTATGCAGTACAACTTTACCAAACCTTGGCATTTTTATCTCTGACATCAATAGAATCATGTGAATTGCTTAATCAAAACAGCAAGAAAAAAGGAAGTGGATTTGTTGTGGCAAATATTTTTTTCCTTAAAAAAAAAATAATAATTTGTGGGATTAAGACCAGAAGGACATGGGTTTATTTGAAGTCAACTCAACACCTGCAACTCCATTGGATAAATCTCAGCCTTTAGTCTCCTTTAACCAGCAGTGGGGGGAAGAAAACTATTCACTGATTGCTGGTTCAGAGGTCAGCCCACTGTATCTGATCTTTATCACAAACAAAAATGGTCTTGAAACTCCTAGTTTAATCAGCCTTGATGTTTTGCCTTATTAATGCACAATGATTTGTACTGTCTAATAAATATACAGCGTATACTTTGTATGTACTGTGTATTCAGCTGTCTTCACCTTCCCTAAAACATGGTAATTTAAGACCAAGTACTATGTTACTGACTCATTCAATGTCTGATGTAACTCCTGGGAGTTTGAAAGTGCTGTGCAAAATGCTTTCTTTTTGGGTTTTGCTTCTTTTTTTTTTTTTTTTTTTTGAAACCAAAACCCTGGTATTGATTTCTTTTGTCAACAATTTTCAGACACAGTGTAAGTTATTCAGAGACTCACCCAGTTTCGACCGTACAGCCTCCACTTCTGGAGTTCCTGGTTCACTCTTTTAAATTACCAGGAAAACAAAACCAAAACAGAAACTCCACAACAAAAAACCTCTACTCCCTAACTTTTTTTTCCTGTGGAGGCACAGTCCTACGTTAAAAGGCATTTTGATATTGCTGATGTCAGATTTAAGATAAAGTGCGTGTCTAAAATAAAAAGTGACAAACTGTGTTACATACACAAGCCGTAGCCAGTAAAAAGGCTGCAAGAGGTGATAATCAAATATTAATTGCAATATTGGCATCTCAAGAAAAACAATCTTACACAGTGATGGCAGTCATTGGCTGTTACTATTTTGTAATTCTTGTCCATTTGTAAATTGTTTTTACTGTTTATACATACTTTTCAGACTGCCTTTCTTTTTGTAATTTATGGAAGGTTTATAAATGAATGATCAAAGCTTCCCCATTGTGTCTTCAGATAATAATGTAAATTACTGTAAGATACCGTGTGCTAGATTATAACATTTAATTAAAGAAAATAACTGGCCTACATTTGTGGTAAAGTACTGTGTGGGTGTGTGCATGTGTACAACTGTTGTGTATTATATTTTATATAAATAAATAATTTGATATTTTGTAGAGTGCAGTATGGTTCATGAATCTACTGCATCAGCTGCCTGATCATTGCGTTAGCCTTCCCACCCTTTCTGGGGGGCTGGACAGGACCGGTAGATCGGGCCCAGGGAGCGATCACTGAGCACGCAGCAAGCGTGCAGGCCCACCTGGAGCAGGACCGGGCCGCAGTGACCGTGTCCTCCCTGCCCGTAGCTGCCGTAAGGAAGCAGCTGCACCAGCTCCTTTTCTACTGACCTCAGACAACACAAACCAGCTCAGAAGGAATACCTCTGACAGGTGTAAATAAGTGATACGTAACTAGGAAGAAATGCAAAATACTACGTAGCGAATAGGGAAAGCTACCACTGTATGGCATCAGAAAGACCAAAATATTTGCCACAACCCCCTATGCCTCTCTTCATTACAAACGTCACGTGGAAGAAGTTCGTACGCTTCTCTCAGCCTAGGAAAGAAAAAAAACCTGAACTGAATACAAGTCACAGAGCTCCCTCATTTTTCAGAGCAGTTGACAGCTGCTGAAATATGCTGTTGAATACAGGCTCATCCAAATGCAAGGCTCCGGGAGCTTTCCAGAATGGTTAGAAAGTTACTCTGGCACATGTCACGTAGTATGGCCCAAGGGCCAGTCTTGAAGCATGTACGCAAATACATCTAACATGCTCAAATATGCAAGGATTACAGCAACAACTTTATTTAAATCTCGCGAAGAAAAGGAACAAGGTTCACAACAAGTTAGTTTAAAAAAAAACAGCACCAACCCAAATCCTCTGTGCCTGGTAATGCAAAAATCTGAAATCAGCTTCCATCAACACAACTCCTGTTTGCTTTACAAATTAAG